CGGACAGGCCACAGAAGACCCCGGACAAGACGGAACGATACTGGATGGGCTGGACGGGTGGACGCTGGACTGATACTACCTGCCAGTGATGTCAGAGTCGGACTGGTTGGTCAGTAGTGACTTGGCAGGCATCAAGGCTTCCTTGGTCTCACGAGCCAAATCATAAAGACCGGAGACCAGAGCTGTGGTTTGCGCATTTTCTTCGTTTTCCCGCACTATTTCAATCAATCGTAAGACGTAAAACGTGTTTTCGAAAATTGTAGCACATAGGTGGCAAATCATCGAATTATATCATTGAACCATTGCAGCCTGGCTGTGGCGTCTCGCAATCCGTTTCATTTCGTCTATCGCATCGTCGACACGCTCTCAATCGCCAGTATTCAGTCGGGCGCTGGGCACTGCCGTCCGCGGCGCCCCCCCCCCCCCCCCCGACATCCTCTGTTTATTCAGAGCCTAATTTTGTGAACCCTCGGCGAACCGCGGCTGCAGCGCTGTCGTCGGACAGAAGGCATGTCTGGAGCCCTAATGATTCCACTGGGAGGCGGCGTTTAACGATTATTAAAAATATGCTTCAAGCTCGACCGGTGGGCATCGCAGCGGAAGCTTGAACATTCGACTGATATTGCGTGCGACGGCCGCGCGGGGTCTGTTTCTTAATTGGCCCTGAGTTGATGTGTGACGTCACACTAACAATTGGTGACGTCAGATTGCGGTTGGCGTCCGCTCTATTGTGCCGAAATCGCCGACTTTTTGCGGGGTTGGCAACAGTAACTTGTCAGTGAAAACGGCTGCCCTGAAATATCACCCGGCCGCACCTGACGACAGTTAGCGGCTTCCCGAAACTGGCTGTTCAACAGACCATTGGTCGGCGGCTGCACGAGTATTATCGAATATATGGGCTGTACTGGCGTGTTTCGCCGCCATCTTCACCCGTCTACGATATGTCGGCTTCTGAGCCTCAGATTCCCAGCCGAAATTCTTGAATTTTAGATTGGCATATTTGGACACAGTTTGATATCTGAAAACCCAGCGGCTGCGCTTCTTTATACTAATTTAATTCAATCATTACACTAATTATAACGCAATAGATATTGGATTGCATCTAAAACTTTTTATGTAAAAAAAAACGCAAAAAAATACTGAACGCTCCTTAGAAAGAAGCTATGAAGACTCAATGCTGTCTTGAGTTGGTAAGGAATAAGTTTCGCGTCGATGGCTCGGGGGCGCCCCTCAGGCGTCGCCGTCAGAGTCACGTGCTCACCGGTCTCACCCAGGTCAGAGCGGGCCCCGGGGTGCGCCGGCGGCGCCCGGTCGCTGCCAGAGAGTGCCGGTGTAGAGTGCCGGTGTCTGGAGAGTCGCAGGCCGCCTCCGTGGCGTGCCCGGCCCCGTTAATGAGGCTCCGCGGCTGCACGGCGGACCACGGGGCGCGGCCGAGCGTCACTGACGAGAGCTGACGGCACGGTGCCGCTGGCACGAACCGCAGTGCCGCCGGCAGCAGACGACAAAATAAAACCGGCCGCGCCACCGGCCCTAGGTAAACAGGGAACGGAAACGAGCTGGTGAAATACCGACCTGACTCAGAGCCATGATTTTCCGGAATAAAATACTTTCTAGCTCCTTTTAACGCACTTCTGTGAATTGCAATGATTTAGGGATAACCAAATGAATCACTTATCTGGAAAGTGTGTGATATTTGTAAAAGTAGCGTGCCTCCTGCTAAAATCGATCATACCAAAGCCCACGATTCGTGGGCCACGAATCACGATACCTGCTACCCGATCTCGTTGGCGTTCTGGTAGTAATCTCTGAAATGCTGGAATCGTCGGCGGCCCGTGCTCACCCCTCCTGAATTACACCCCAGTCGGTCTGGGCTCCGTCAGAGACCACCGCCGTGTATCTGGAGAGACTTGAACTGACGGCCGTCACTCGGCACCGCGGCCATTTTTGTTCGCTCCGATCCCCGAGTGGGCAGGTCGACGGGGCGTTTTTACGCCAGCAGCGTCTACCCCCTCGACCGGCCTGTGTGTCTGTGCGCCGTTTTTGTCACGAGGTGGGACAGACATGAGCGGAGTGGGGCATGGGTGAACAGGGGTGAATGCGCAGTGAACAGTGATGAACAGAAACGCGCAGGGGTGAGCAATGAGCATGCAGAAGAACAGGAACGAACAAAAATGGATAACTATGTTTGGTGAAATCAAACTCATCTGACGCAAGCGGTCATATTTGATATCTGATGAAACAGCCCTCTTGTCATTAATCCCGCGGCAAACCGCAAAATCTTGCGCAGTGTTTCCTCCTACCGAATGGGACTAGCTGAGGTCAGCCGAACTGAGCCGCTCGCCCCGCTCGTGCCGTTCAGATCTCACCCGGCAGTTTTTTACGGCTGTCCGGCAGCCCCTCCGGCGCGGGATCACCCAGGGACCATCACCGGCCGGGTCAGGTCAACACGGCCGTTCGGGTCGACCGTCTGCGTGTGGGAGTGTGAGTGGGACAGACTGGAGCGGCTGTGTCAGCACGTCTGTCGCCTCGGGCGCACCGGAGAGAGATGGATCGGGGGTGGCGCCGACAGGAGGGTAGGGAGGTGGAGAGGGGTAGCGCGTCCCGCAGAGGATAGTAGGCCGGTGGGTGCCACTGTCATGCCAAAAGGACAGAGGGGTAAGTGTGTGGTGACCTTTTTAGCAGGCCGGTTGCCAATCACGTGTCACGCTGTATCAGAGAGATTCATTTGGATGTGATGCAGCTGGTGATATTTTGTGAGAAGGTTAGAACAGCTGGGCAGCAGCCGCGGTTGTGCAATCTCTGGCTTACGTCTATATCTCCAGTCAAAGCCGCAATCAATCATCGAAGATTTAACTAAGGCATCGAGGAGGTGAAATGTTTTGACTTGGTCTGCTCGTTCGGGCGACCACGATTAGAAGCATGTGCATTAGCGATGACTAGCCACATGTCTTCCCACTTCTCAAACTCCCATCCCCTGCCGCATTCAGCCCGATCTGCGTGCCTCACTCGGCACGTGGAGCGCTCCGACTTGGCGAGCTTCGAGCGTCTCGCTCGCCGCCACAGCAGTGACAACTAACAAGCACTGATTGTGAATCACAAGCACTCATTGCGTTATAACCGGAAATGGTGGTCTGCGCCCGGCGCCTGGTTGTTCGAACTCACTGTCCCTCGCTTGCTGGAGCATTGGTTGTATGTAAGGCAGGTATATGTAAGGCATAGGAAAGGCATAATGTATATTTAAGGCATAGGCATATGTAAGGTATAGGCAAAGTATATTTTGTCAAACTACTCACTGTTCCTCCGCATAGGCGGCAGAACGGGGTGGGGTTCCGCTTGATTTGATTTTGCCATTTTAAAGGAAGACTGCCACCTTCAAAAAGTTTTCTCAGATCGGCCTATGATTTATTCCCTGGATAAAACAAAATTTTAGAATTCACCTGACAAAGTATCATCACGTGAATCGCGAAAAAATATCGATTATCATACAATTATCAATCGGTTAATGTCTAGCGACAATGTTTACACATCACTAGACTTCAAGGTCATAAGATTATTACATTTTATTTGAAAAAGTAAGGTATTTTATGATTTACTAATATATGATTTCATAAGAAATTGGCCATGTTTACTTTATTTTGCATTTAACTTCGTAAAACATTTAAAAATCATGGCTCATTTGGAATGGGTCTGGCCCATGTTAAACCCCATTTCCCACACTTTTTTAGAAAAAATGAACTACTGAATATATAAGTTTAACTTTTATTTTGACACTCCAAAATTCTTCTCTGATCTCGAAACAATCAAAGTTTTGACATATATTTGCCAAAAGATAAGAAAATTCATGTTTCAAAGTTATCGATAAACAGTAGAGATGTCGGTTTTCTTGGACTAAAAAAATGGCATCAAACTGAACTTTGGTCTCCGATTTCTCGCAAACGGGTTCGAATTTCGGAAAACCGACTTCAGTCTGGGACATAGGTGGCTCAGCTCATAGTGAAAACCGTTTTGTGAAAAAAAGGTGGCAGTCTACCTTTAAGATTAGCCCTATGGGCGTTGCATGGAAGGAATGGGACCAAAAGTCGGCAGTATCCCCCCCCCTCCCCCTTTATTGAAGGAGTTCCGCCGTTACTGTTTCTCCATTGTTGTAGGAGAGGGTATCTCCACGTCATCTGATGCCATCACAGTGAAGCAAGATATGTTAGTTCCAGCTTGACGCTGCACTACCTGTGTGCCATAGAGCAGGCGTTCTCCATGGTGCTCCCACTCCTCTGGCAGTGGGTGCACGAGTTGGCCTTCCGGTCCTGTGCACAGCTCTTGGTACTTACAGCACCGCGAGCGCCCAGCCCGTTCTGTGAACTCTCCGGACCTGACTCAGACAGCGTGGCCATCCCATCCCTCCCCTGACCAGTGCGTGGCATCATGGGACTCGTTACGAGCTGACCAGACCCCGTCAGCGCAGTGTCCCCGGCAGTAAAAACGGCCCATCGCGACGGCACTAACTGTGCCGGTTACTGCAGAGGAAAACACCGGCCGTGTGTACTCTGTCATGTAACGGCCAGTCGTCGCCCCGTCTTCTGAGGTCATCGCCTCACAGGGCAGACGCAGAGCCGCGACGCAGTCGTCCGCGCGGGTCTCATTGAGCAATGTGCTGACCTCATCAAAATTCCAGGTCTCGTCATCGCCGCGATTTAGCATCGACGGATATCCGTTCCTTATATTTGGGTGTCATTTATTTCCAGCTAATCTGACTTCCATATGGCATGCGAGGTGACATGTATAGCGTATACCTAATTGATACGGCGGAACCTAAATTAGGTATCTTTAACACAGAAATGACAGGCACATTGACATGCTTAGAATACTTAACATGTCAGTTTAGGATGTGGGTATAACCAATATAGTTCCTAGATGTGTGTGTGTGTGTGTGTGTGTGTGTGTGTGCGGCGATGACGAGACCTATCTGTGTGTGTTTTAATGACGTCACTCTGTGTCTGTTGCAGCCTGCGTGGCGCTGGTGATGAATGACGTCATCGTTCCGCCGTACGTCGTGCGAGGTCACACGGGCCACCTGCGCTGTGACTACAGCGCCCAGGACGAGCAGATCTACTCGGTCAAATGGTACAAAAACTCGCGCGAGTTTTACCGATACAAGCCGGGCTCGCTGCAGCCAATCATCACATTCCCCGTGGACGGATTCGTCGTCAATGTGAGTTCGAACTGATTTTTTTGTCTATATAGGTATGGTAGTCTTTTGAACCATATATGCAGTTCATTGAACTGATGTCGCTCAACTCACGTGGCGCGCAATTAGTCGCCTGGCGCAAATTTCGCCACGATGAGGTCATACCGATCGACCGTCACCCCATCGCCTGTCACGACAGCACGCCAGTGCGCAGCAGCCTCCGTACGCATGGCGTACACGTCTGTCAGCTCGGCGCATACGTCTGTCAGCTGAGGTGGCCGCAGAGGTGGCGACTTCAACTCAGCGCTGCCACGGCCAGCGCTGATGGGTGCCCGCACACACAGAAATATTGAGCGGAAAAAACGGTGTAATTGAAAGTACCAAAAGGAACATTTTTTTGGTGTAAAATTACTCTGTTTTCTGGGTAAAAGAACACTTATATGTGTGTTTTGCTAGCTTCAGAGTGCTTCACTGTTGTGTAGGAGAACCGCTTTCAGTGTAACTTTACCGCGGATCTCGCGTTACATTTACGCACAAATATGTGTTTTTGGTAAAAAGTACCAAAAGGAACACTCGCGTGGTAATCGTACACAAATTCATGACGGTAAATTTACACAAATATGACGGTTATTATAACGATTTTTTCTGGTAAAGCTAATGTTGGGCCCGCAAAATTTGTAACGCAAGCGACACGCGGCGGGACGTTGTCGCCAGCCGCGAGCCTAGCTAAATGCAACGAAACATTGTGATGCTCAATGCCTACCCCATGCTGCAAACACGTTTGTTTGTTTGTCGTTTATTGTTAAGAATCGACATCACATCTGACGGAAATAAAAGTTAGATTAGCGTATATACCTTATCATGTATATAAGCTGATATTTCACAACGCATGGGCGCCGCTACAGGTCGCAGCCACCGCCCGTCTCCCGTCAACTGCCCGTAATTAATTAATAAATAAAACATATATCATCTGTACGCACTACTTCACTGTGCCAAAATTATCGTTCATTTAATTAGCCATCGGCTCTCTGTTGCCTATCTGGCAAAATATTAGCATACCTATACCTAATTAACCCTAGAAAAGCATGAAAGTGCATCCATTATTTTCATAACACGACAGCAGCTCAGTTGAAAAATTACAAGCCCACCTTAGCACTCCGACAAAGCTGGATAATTTCCAGCAGCTCCTCCAATGTCGCTCCGCTTCAGATTTCAGACTCGGTCTTGATTGCAGTTATCGGACGATGACCACAATGCAGTATTTCACTTATTATTCACTTAGTCACTCATTACTCAGCTTATTATCGAACTAGATAAACACCACAGCACTGTTTTATCTCACTGATCGCACAAGAATGGGCAAACCCACTCTGCGCACTGCAGCCACAACACTCCCCCGCCGGCCCCCGCGGTCCCCGGCGCACAACTGACGGATTGCGAAAATGGCGCCGCCGCCGTCAGCATGTAGCTCAAAATTTCGCTAAATTTACACTGGTTGGCGTAAACGAACGGTGCTCTGGATGTGTACCGTAATTACCAGTGCGACACAACACTCATTCGCGTATGGATACACTTGCTTTGCATGGAAACATATCAGTTAGGTATTTGAACATCTGTTATGCTGTTACATTATTCTGTTTTGCGTAAAGATGCTTGTGTGGTGTAATAAAACTGCCGATGTTTGTTAGATAACCAATAAACGTCGTATAAAAACAAACTTATTCTTGATGCCTTTACTTATTATGGCGTTGTGCGACGGATACCTTGCTTATTTATCACGAAAATACTTAAACTAAAGATATTTTACTAAGTGAAGCAGAACTTTGAAGCTAATTGAACTATTTACGAGTATATTGAACTTGACATCGCTCAATATTTCTGTGTGTGCGCGGGGATGGAGGCTGAAGGGGGGGGGGGGCGGATGGTTCATGTCAGTTTCCGAGGTCGGCAGACGGGGAGGGGTGGGTGGAGGAGGAGGTGATGTCATTCTAGGCCTCCTGAGGTGCTGAAGGCCCATGGTAGCTCATGAACTGTCTTCTTTTGTAGTTCGCAGAATGATGGGTGGTATTCTGCATATTGAATGTTCGAAATTGATTTATTTCGCATCACGATCACACGGGTAGTGTGAGATACATTTAACCATAAAACAGGTTTGTCAATAGACCAAATGAAGAGGAATTTTCGGACGACTAATGTCAATGAGGGCGTTAGATGCGGATCTATTCATGTTTGATCTTACTTACCTCGAGTTGTAGCTCAAAGCTAATTACGGCATACTTGGGTGCTACTTGGATAGGTACTAGGATGAAGATCTATCATACTTGGACGGCATACTTGGATGAAGATCTATTTATTTACTTTCCGTATTTACTGCGATTGTTACGTTGCATGACCGTTGATTGGTAATTCTGATCCTTCCCTATATATTGAAATTGGAACTACTTATTTGCGGCTTTATCCATCTGTAAGAATGCAACTGTTCACTGAGTCTTGTGGCTGCGTTAGCGGTCACTGCGACACGAACAGATGCATTCTGTAAGCTCTGCGCCGGATCCGCCGCAGCTGATGATGACTGCGGCGAAACTGGCGCGGCTAATGAGGGATCAGAGCTGTAATGGACCTTGTTACCGACAGGTAATCTGGCATCGTTAGCTCCACACGTAGCTCTTACGTGCTCAGGTGTTGGCTGTCGGAAAGAGCGGCAAAAACGGCGGTCTCTGAGGATCGGTTACCATGGCTACTTATCGGGACGCGTCCAATTGGCCATTAGTTGGTAGTTATTGTAATAATTGCTCGTAAGAGCTGAGACATCGGACATCGGATATGGGACAGTTTTTGCGAGTCGACAATTTTTCCATGGTAATGATTGAAAATAATCAAAATAGCCCTCTCCACCAGCACAGCATCTTTTCAAAGGCATATAAATTCTTTATTTTGTCCAAAAATATATTGCCTCACTTTTGTCATCGCTAGCATGCTGTTTTATGTTACCACCTCCAGACTGAAAGGGTCTGACACCTTCCTCTTCTGCACCCGCTTTCAAAGAGAGAGAAAAAGAGAGACGCCTTCCTCTTTTGGTCCCTTCTCTCTTTCTCCCTCTCCCCCACTCACTCTTGTCTCGTGTCCCCGGCAGACGGCGCAGTCCAACGAGCACGACCTCTACCTGAACCAGGTGGACCTGGACGCGGCCGGATCGTACCGCTGCGAGGTCACCTCCGGTGCGCCCTTCTTCTGGACCGTGCAGAAGGCCAAGGACGTGCAGGTGGTCGGTAAGTGACACATATGAGTTTCCTCTGCGCTATATTGCTTTGGTTGGTCAGTGGATGTCTGCCGAAGTTGGAAAAAAAATCATTAAACGTTTCTTACCTTGATCTCTTTTGATGTAAGTAAACACATTACTTTTTTGTCTGAACCATTGTGACCTAATCTGTCCTATGCAGTTTGAGAAAAGGAGCAGACCAGTTTCCAATAAACCTTATCTCATATTTAAATGTGCCAGTAGTCCAAAAGAGCGGCTTGTTTTGTATGGTATTTCGACTCCAACAGCGATATTAAATGTTTCGTCTTGCTTGGTGGGACCTTTGGAATAGCTGAGCACTGATGAGCCCGCTCCCAAGTGCAGCTCTTCTTTGTGGTGACCGACGTGAGCAGGTGTTATATTCCACTCCATAAGAATTCCCCGGTGCTGTTTTATTTCAAAGTCAGCCGCGGCAGCAGCGCATGACAGGACTGCCTTCAAGTAATGTGAGTCGTCAGGTATGAGAAATGAACACGGAGCTAACACCTCCGCCGGGAGTGTTCAGCGAACTGCGGCGCGGCCGGCGCATGCAGACGGGGGCGGGCCGGCCGGCCAGACGGATGGCCCGCTCTGAGCCGGCCCAGCAGCTGTGTCCCGGTCCGCAGGCCCCGGTGGATGCGGCGCTAACCGCACTCGCGGGAGGCGCCCGTTCGCGGAAGGCTCTCCACTGCGCCGCGGCCCGTGCGGCTCGGTCGCGGTCGGCCGGCCGCCGCCCTCGGCCGTGACCGGCTGAGTTACGTGTCCCGTCCACTTCAAAGGAGTGGCGTGCGTCTCTGCCGGCCGCACGTGTGTGGCCGGACGGCCGCTATTTTTGCTCTTGATGTTGCTCGTGCCGTGCGCTATATTTATACCTGAGTTGAGACTGAAGGAACGACGACGCCTCGTTGACGATTTAGCCTCCGTTTTCTGAGGGTCGGCTCGCTGCCGGCGATTTCTTTTCAGTGAGCCGATGTGTCGCCTGTCGTGATCGCCTCCCCTCCTCCGCTCAGCGCACGTACGTCCACCCATCTGGTGATACCATCTGGTGCCGGACGACGGTCGACGGCAGCCCGCATTAGTCGCCACACAAAGCCGGGCGCAGTTTAGGAGCGCCGTCGGACGTCGGCCCGTCGGCCCGTCCCGCCGTCTCTCCGTCGGCGGCGACGAGAGACGGCGATCGGCGGCGGCGCGTTATTGCGGATTAGCGATTTGTGACGGTTGTGGCGCACCGCCGCCGAGTGGACGATCAGTGGCGCGCCTTTGACTCAGAAGTGATCGGCGCCGGCGGGCGGCCGTCTGATGTCGTCTTATGAGCCGGCCGCGGCGGGGCTGCTACTGGCTGTTACACGACCCTCTCCACGGAGGAGGGTGCTGACCGCCGCTGATTCTCAGAAGGCTGAGGGGATGGAGCCCTATCTATCGCTGGTTCTTGTCAGCCCGAACGACGGGTTGTGAAGAAAGGGCTGATTTGCAGATCTGCAGAGTTGTCATCAACAAAGGCGTGACTATAAACGCCTCACAGACGCTCAAAGTGTGCGATAATGAGTCAGTTGTCTTCCCAGTTTCAGCTGACGAATATGCTTGATGACGGCATAAGATTCATCTACGTTAGTCATAATTTTGCGAATGAGACTTGTTTTCTGCTCTGCGCTGATGAAGCTGCATAATCTATCTCACACTGACGAATCATTTTCCCGACATTGCAACTTCACTCCCGATCTACGACAGCTATCGCCCCCAACCCATTTGACCCTCACACGGTGACTGACTATTGACCTCTGACCCTTGATAAAAACTAACCTCCCCTCTGTTTCACGTCACAGACCTGCCGGACGCGGTGCCGTCGATCCGCGGCCACCTGCCCAGCTACCGTGTGGGCGAGGTGATGAAGCTCAACTGCTCCTCGTACCGGTCGTACCCGCCGGTCAAGCTGCACTGGTACGTCAACGAGGAGCCCGTAAGTAGGGTACGTGACGCGACACGCACGGTTTCGTTCCGCTCTGGTTTGGTTCGCGTTGTGAGACGCCTCCAAGATCAGGCGAACGACTCCGGCTACCGGGACAGCTTGAAGTTACGGGAGCAGGGGATTAACTGGATTGTAATATTTCAGTAGTGGGAGGCTAACGATGTAACTGCTGAATGGATTTATATTTACCAACTAATAGAGGCACTAAACCTACTAAATGGATTTATATTTACCAACTAATAAAGGCACTAAACCTACTAACTCTTCTAATTGGTGTTATTCTAAGAATCTTGCGGCTCTTTATTGCATTGAAGTTTTTGAACTTTCCATTGAATCTTCGAACGAAAAACGCTTGAGCGCAGATTTATAAATGCCTATCTACCTGTCGATAGAAATGATGATAGGATAACAACGATAAATCCAATGCTATCCGAAAACGTTCAATAAAAGTGAGTAATAATATGTCAGGTAACTGTGCAGAATACAACCATATGGGTACAACCCTTGGTGGTCAAATTCGACGCAATCCTGAAGGGTCTCACAACGCTTTTAGCATGCCGAATGTTGGTCATAATGTTGAGGTATCATGCATTCTCGTGACGTACAAGATGTTTCAAGTTTATGTTTGTGTTTTGAATTGGTTTCAGGGCCTTTACCCGTTTTATTTTTCGTCTCATAGATCATGCACGTTTCGTTCGATTGTCATGGTGTGTTTCCATCGCTCACAAACGTTCAGATGAAGATAAACTAGAACGTGGCTAACAATCCTAAAACAGGGTAGGTTGGTAACATAATAATCAACATTTAATCAGATTGCGTTTACCTTTGTATCTAGTTCAGAATGTACTGACTTATTAACTTCCAGTATAGTTTCCGATAATTATGGGAATTCAGTCTGAAAAGGTAAGTCAACGACCGCCCTTAGCTCCTAAACCAGCGCTTCAGCGGGCTTCGGGGAATGTTGACAGTTAACCCTCGCACGACCAGGCCATTTCTCATAACACGAACGACCAGGGGGGGGGGGGTTGTTACGACCCCCCCTGGCGTTTCGAAACGGAAGGTCGTAGAGCTTAGCGGAAAAAAACAACGGATTGCTCTCAACGAGATCTCGCGATTGGTGGTATATTTTTTGGTCCTATGTCAACATTTGACCTACTTATGACCGGTCAAAGGTCAAATTTTCCGAAAAAATCAAACTTTTTCAACTTTCCGCGGCGATTGCGGCAAAACGGTGGGAGATATCGACTTGAAACCCTCACTATCGTGTTCCTTGATTAATTCTCTATCGTTTGGTATGTATTTCGTTTCCCTAGCTCTAAAAATGGCGCGTTGTGAGCGCCGGAAGTCGGCAAGGTCACAGTCGGCGGCAGAAATTCGAAAAATCAAAATTTAAATTTTTGAAATCTGATTGTATTTTTGGATTTGGGAGGTCCATTTGCTCCCTATAGAAGCTAATATTGCTGCATATTCCCATTGAGGTGACAAGAATTAGCAAAATAGTGGTTCGGGCGCTTTTCAAAAATAGTACCGGACGCTGTTCCTCTTGTGACGTCATAGCTCCGTGACCTGACCTGACTTGGTCAATTTTCTTGCACCACACGATAGCCAATGCTTGCCCCAACATGCATGGGAAGTTTCATCATGATCCATCAAACAATGTGGGTATCACCGGTAGAAAACCTAGGGATTCGACGCACACGTTTGGTAACTGTCGGCCGGAGGCTGTACCTCTTATGACGTCATAACTCCGTGACCTGACATGACCCGATCAATTTTTTTCGGCAAAAGATGCGCAAAGGTTGCCCCAGAGGGTATTGAAAATTTCAGCCCGCTACGACAAGCCGTTTAGCGTGCACTTCGAAAAAACCTCAGGGGGGGTTGATACAACCCCCCCCCCCCCTAGGCGTTCTAGGGTTAAATTACGCACACCAAAGAAGACAGATGCAGAGATATGCTATAAAGTCATGTAGGCTTACGCCTACAAATATCACAAACATTGCACTACAAACTGAGTATGTGTGGGACAAAGGAGCAGCCTTTACAGGAAAGCAAACTTGAACAGAGAAGGAAAATAAGAACGGAGATAAACAAAAGAACGCCTCTGATGTAAATATGTATGCAATGTCATGACTCATGTGCCTTGTGCACTGTGTAGTGGCCCTAGTGGCTAAATTGTTTCGTGTTGACATCACTTTGACTTAACTTTCTTATGCTTGAAGCGTTCATATCTTTTGATAGATGCCACTTAACTGTTTGAAACGCAAATGGCTGCTGTTTTCCATCTTTAGATCGAATAAAAAGCAAACCTTTTACAATTTGCAGAAAGGTATGCAACGTGAATTTTGTAGACCGATAATCTTTCAGGCGTTCATTAGGTGCATAAAACTGTTCATCGCTGTCGACATAAAATTGTGGGCTCCAGTCGACAGAGAATGTCAATGCATAACATGTTTTCGTCCCGGAAATGTAACATTTAGCCCACCACAGTATCTATTCCAAAGCTAGCAAAGCTCAACATTTATGTGATGATAAAATGAAACAAAATGATAATACCGTAGAGGAACTTGCATTTTCATGATACCTTAAATTGCTAAAAATACATGTACCTACAATACAGGAAAGCACATATGCTGCTAGATAAACACGAATGCAAAAGTGCGGAGTGTTGAGTGCATCAGGGTTTTCTAAGCAGAGAGTCTTTCGCCTTTCTGATACTTCTGCAGCAGTGGGAGTGAACGGTCGTGGTATACAGGGATGGACAGTGGACACTGGTCAGCAGTGTCAGGCAGCCCGCGGCACGGACCGCTGCCAGTCCCACCGCTCGGGTCGCGTCTGTCGGCGGGCAGCCGATGGCCTGAGGTCACCGTGTTTGACAGTGTGGGGTCGCCGGAGCCCTCGCCGCCGGCCATCAATTCACTGGCAGAGACGCTCCGGAGCTGCATTTTTACAAATGGTAATGATGGCCCCCTGCCGCCAGAGACGAGCGGCCGTTTATACATATGTGGTCGCCCGGCTGAGTGAGGGTGCCGGGACGCGAGCCGCGCTCTGTTAGAACACCCCTGGTCTAGTGAATGGACTATTTAGCTCCTGACGGGGCTCATTCGTCAGCTCGATTGAATACACGTTCAGTGCCACCCGCAACGGCTAGATCTTGCCCTTCTGGTGGCATTTAAAATGTGTGAATGATCCCTTTGTGTTCGTGTCGCTGCTCTTTGCGAATCCCTACGCAATTCACATGCATTTAGTAAAATATCATATAAGCGTACATTTAATTTATCTTACCCAAAGCTTGTCTTGGTGTCTAGTCCAACCGTGCTGTAACAATTCCCGGTGCTCGGTTTCTCGCTGCCCTGATTGCGCCCCAAATCGGGCCGCTGGGGCGCTACCCGGGCCGACTCTCCTCCGGGGCCAAATTATGATAGCGGCCGTGTGCGTCGCGTCGCGCTGTGATATTCCCCAAACAGTAAACACAGCGGCCGGGCGCCAGCAAAACACGGTGCAAGGCTGCAGCGCGAGCCGACAGACGGAGCTCCGCCGCCAGCCAATCACGGACGCCAAATGCCGCTGTCTCGTCCCAGTTGGTTTTTGTCGTTAGCCTGTGCATACAAATCCGAGTCGATGTTTGCTTACAACGCCCCGGGCGGCTCGAAAATGTGAACGGAAGCGAAGTTGTGCGCTCAAATGAAGTTTGATTTGGTGGAGAATGATTATGTAAACGTTGGAAAACCAAGAAAGAACTATTCGGTTGATAGAAACATCGACGTTTAAGGAATAATCCGATTGGAAAATAAATGTCAAATGGTTTTACATCATTCTCAGATGTGGAGGAGGACTAAAATAGAAGCAGGCGCCATTCGTATCCACTTTATGCCATTACTTTCCTATCACGCTAAGCTGTTCAATTTCCCATAAACGACTCTTTGCGTCTGTCTGCCTGTTGAGGTTGTATCTGCGCCGGTTGAGGAGTGGCGCTATGGAGGCCTTCAGCCACTGGCCCTGGTCTCTGACTGGTTAGCTTCTGACCGTCAGCCCGCGGGTGGACGGCCAGTTTCTGACCGTCAGCCGGCAGGTGGACGGCCAGTTTCTGACCGTCAGCCGGCGGGTGTACGGCCAGTTTCTGACCGGCCGGTTTCTGACCGGCTGGTTTCTGACCATCAGCCGGCGGGTGGAGGGCAGCAACGCGATGGCCGCGGCCTCGGTCGGCCAGTCTGTTTACACGGGCAGAAGCGTGCTGGCGACCGCGCCGCGTCTAACGGCGCCCTCTGAACGCTGCAGGCTCCTGCAGGCCGGCCCATGTCCACTGTATGGCCGGCGGGAGAGGGGAAGGGTGGGCGACCAGCCCCGCTCTGAACACATCACCAAGAGTCTGTTCCGAACACCGGTCCGGACCGGGCGCCGAGCCAGGAGAGCAGTCAGCCCTACGGAGAAGCAAACAACATGACGCACATATGCTAACATTAGCCCATTAATATTGAATATAATGTATTGATCATCCAGCCAATGTGATTCAATTCGCTAAAGTCATCACCTTATTGACAAATTGCCATCTTGGTAGTGATTCTCTGTATCATGTCAATTCACTCGGAAATCGCGTATCGCTTACCAAATAATCGAATACCAGCTTATAACCCACCACGGCCCCGGCCCCATGTTCAAAATACGAGCCACCTGCGGCGTCCCATCCCGACCCTCACCGGCACGTTCTGCCCCTCTAGGTGTCGTGGACGTCAGTGGAAAGCTGGACGAACCCGGAGCCGTTCAGCATGACGACCACCTTCTCCCGAATGACGCACACCGTGTCACCGGAGGACTTCAACGACGGCGTCATGAGAGTCCGGTGGGTGGATGGGAGGGGGAGAAGGAAAGAAGGGAGGAAGGGAGAGAGGGAGGAAGGGAGAGAGAGAGAGGGAAGGGAGAGAGAGAGAGAGAGAGAGAGAGAGAGAGAGAGAGAGATAGAGAGAGAGAGAGAGAGAGAGAGAGAGAGAGAGAGAGAGAGAGAGAGAGAGAGAGAGAGAGAGAGAGAGAGAGAGAGAGAGAGAGAGAGAGAGAGAGAGAGAGAGAGACGTGAATAGAGTCCAGTGGGTGGACGGGGTGAGAAACGGCAGGAGAGATGGTACCTACGTGGTGAGATGAAAGTTCGGTTTGAGCGTGGTGAGACTGATTGGGAAGAATTCGGCTATCTGATCGTCTGGTCAGAGGTGACATAAAAAACAATATCGTACCAGTTTTAACGTGAAACTTCCAGCACTGCTAATCGCTGCTAAATCACCTGAAGATGATGAAACAGGTGCCAACACCACTAACCAACCCTTCCCTACGCTAGCGGTCACATCCAACCGCCCCGTTGGCCGTCCGAGCGGCCTCCGCCTCCGTCCTGGGTCCGCGGGGCTCGCCAGCGGGTAACGACGTACCGACACCGCGTCGGTGGCCGTCTCATCAATGCGCCACCGTTCGTCACACGGTGCGCCACCGCTCGTCACACGGTGCGCCACCGCTCGTCACACGGTGCGCCACCGCTCGTCACACCCGGTACCGCTCGTTTTCTGCGGCGTTTTCCGACAGAACCCCGTGCCGATGTGAATGGCGCCATGTATTGATTGGCATTGTGCGTGGCGCCGGCGGTATAAGGGGCCAGGTAGCAGGGCCGAGCTGACGAGCCCATTGCAGATAACGGCCACTGTTGACCGCCGTTAATACCAGCTGGATCGGGGACTGAATTCGGACTGATCACCGCCCTCCGTGCGGAGAGACCGCCGGACAGTGTTGTTTCCCCGGCAGGGCACCGGTGTCCCGTGTCGGTACCTGATGATTCAGCTGGGGCTGTTGTGTGCCAGATATCTACTTACCAGTAAAACGCCTTTTGGGCGAAGAACGAGCGAGCGAGATAGTGAGCCCTGCACGTGCAGAAGGGCGAGAGGGTACTTCCAACGGGCTTGTGCAAAGCACCCTTCTAACCGGTCGTTAGCGGTGTACCAAATTTGAACGCAATCGGCCCAGCCGTTCCTGAGATCTGGAAGCGGCATTCTGCACGTGCGTACGTGCAAACGGGGTCCAAAATGACTTTTGCACGGCACCCTACTAACCGGTCCCCAACCGTGTACCAAATTTGAGCGCAATCGGCCCAGCCGTTCTCGAGATCTGGAAACGCCCCCTGCACGTGCGCACGTGCAGTAGCACCCTAACTGCAACACATGGGAATGCATTGCCTGGTGGGTGCCTACCTGTATGCCAAGTTTCAGCGAAATCGCCCCAGTAATTACCGAGTTACTGAAATGGGAACAAATTTGGCACCTCTTATTGTTGTATTTTGCACGTGCAGTGGGGGTCACTCACATAGATGAAGAGTATCCGACCTTTGGTAGAAGGGATGCAGCTACCCTATAAAAATGACCGCAAGACAATCGCTCAAGCCGCTGCTGAGATATGGGCCTCTAAAAATCATTACTTTTGCAAAACTGCTTGAACACCCTTGACTTTTCACGTGGCACGTGCCACGGCGGTCACTGAGATGTATCAAAAGTAGTCAATTACGGGGTAGAAGGGATGGGGCTACCCAGCAAAAAAGACCGCAGGCCATTCGGTCCAGCGGTTGCTGAGATATACGCCTCTCAAAAGCGTTACAGGCCGGGCCGGGCCGGGCCGGGCCGGGCCGCTCATACTGAGATTTTTCCGTTATATTGAAAAGACTTCGCTTCGCTCGCTGCGCTCGCTCGCTCGTAATCATTTAGGATAGGCCCGGGCAGCGCTTGTCGAACAGCACTGCGGATCCGAAGGTTGGGACTTTAATTGTGAAAAACCGCCCGCCCGCCGCCAAACGCAAACACCGCAAAACGCGCAAAACGCACGCCTAAAACGCCAACGCAAACTTCGCAAAAAAAAAAAAAACAATCGCCCGCCCGCCGAAAACCGCAGAAAAAAACGCACAAAATGCCGCAAAAAACGCGCTTCCGCCGCAAAACACAAACACCGCAAAAAATGCAAACACCGCCGCCGCAAAAAAAACGCCCGCATCGCCCGCCGCCATCCGCAAAACGCCCCAAAAAAACGGCCGCACGCGGTGTGATTTGTATAGGTCCTGTTTGTTTCTTGCAGCAGAATAGTTTTTGACAATGTTACGGCGCAATGACAAGTGGTCACAAAGTTTATAATGTAAGAACAAATTATAATTTAGTGCACGTAATAGTGCAACTTATGCAGCAGCAGCCCGCACGAGGGATGTTCCTTATCATGAGGTAGGTTAAGGTATCTACTACCGACAGTAATGTCGCCAAATTATCATCACTAAGACTGAACCAGCACAAAGAGCTCAGTGTGTCCTGCGGCGATGAATTCTGTTCTCTGTCCCCGGTGACGTGTTGAACTATCCTATTGTGCTCGGCGACGGCTCAGTGGCTGTCAGCCAGGCGTGCCGCGACTGTCGCTCTGCCTCCAGTGACGTCACAATGACGTCACCAGTGTGTGTGTTCACAGGTGTACGGCTAGTATGAACGGCACCGACTACTGGGAGTCACAGGAGATCTCCGCCAGTCGCATCGGCAACGTGCTGCCCAAGAGCGAGCGCAGCCAGATCTCCAACGCCTCGGCGAGAACGCGTAAGGCCTGAGTGATGGCAGTGACGTCAGTGTTATCACTGTGATGCGCACTGACAGTGTATATCGCACGACATAACACGTCACAGTGCAGCCAGAACATCACGAAACGCGACAGCACAGTGCACTGGACACGGACGGCGGGCGACAGCACACTGCACTAGACAAACAAAGACAGTGGGAGGGAGGACGCATATTTTCATTTAATTATTATAGCATTTGTACATCGGACACCTACAGGTTTACGGCCTGCAAAATGATGTCCAATTACCCAGGTTTATAACATACAAACAACAGAGTGCAGTTGAAATAAGCCTACAGCCATCAATAATAAAATTAAATAAAGGTATGAAAGCACGCTTTACCAACATGTGTCATTATCATTACCGTGGTTATTGTATTATGCGACTTTTCAAATCAGGGACACCGATTTCTGAGTGTTTCACTTTCGAAAGGTTTCAAATTTCTTCGAAAGGTTGAAGCTGCGCTGAATAATCCTGGTCCTGACCCGCACCGCCGCCTGTCCAATTCCGACAGGTTCATAAAGACAACTCTCGGGCTGCAGCAACCAGCCAGCATTGAGCTATTTTGCCCGGCCGACTGCGACAGCGCAGTCGGACTACAATTATTCCATCGATTCGAGTTTAATTTTGCTGATTGGATTGGCGAGTCAAGTCGGCGCCAATGCCTTGTAACAGTCATAATTGATTGTGACACGCGTTCCGCCGCGGCATCTGTTGTGAGCGGCAGGCGGGGGCGGGGGCGGGGGCGGCTCGTCCGTCCCAAAACACGGACACATCATAACTTACACCATCGGCGCCGCGCCTCGCCTAATTCCGATCTACTTAGCGGGCTTATTCTCGGGCCACGCTAACGTACGATCGGCCGGCAGGGAAATATTCTACATTTTCAATGAGCCCGTGTGCCACCGGCCCCTTTTCGTTATGCAAAACGCGACACTTTGAATTTATGAGATGGGCCCAGGTGGTATTAGAGCGCTCATAGGCTGGCAAGCGCGGTGCCCGTTATCATGACATTAAACGACAACGTGAAAGTTGCAGGCCGAATGGCGGATGTCTACTCCGCGGCTGGCCGATTATGTTGGACGTTATTCTCCGCGGGCTGCCGTCGGTCGGCCTTGGCCGGCGGCGGCGGGCCCTTCGATGGGCACCGTCCACCGGGCCCGGGCCATTACCCAATGTGGCGGCCCGCCCCCCAGCCCAATCACGCCCGATCGGTGGCCGACAACTTGACAGCTGACACCCGAGGCCAGGTGATTTATCATTGTCCAATGTGGAGAAATAAGGTACCGCGCAATCAACATTTTGAAAAGGCGACTCGAGTATGTATGCAGTTAGAGCGAGAAATGTTAATTTTATGGCGGCCTCTTGTGCATCCAGTATACTTATTCTGCAGTAAACCATCGCCATGGAGCGTGCAATGTGTCACTTTATTTCCGACGACGACAGTTTGAAGATCAGTGGCGGAATGTCTGTGAAAGTGCACTGCAGTAAACTCTGTGAACGCTGCAACACGGTTTGATGGCTAACGCCTGTAATTGCTGTGTGCACGAGCATTTCTGCTATAGAAAAATCGCGTAAAATCATACTAAGAATTACATTGTATGAAAAGCTGTCTTACTTATTTAGGTATTGGGGTCATTCGCGATACATTACCTATGCATATCTTTTACGATCAGTATTTAAAACAGCAGCCCAAACGGGTAAAACTTTAGACGTTGTAACAAAACAGATCAATTTTCAACAGTTATTGTTTCCTTGGTATGGGGAGGACCGACAGACGAGGGGTGGAACAAAGGCGACTTTTACTCCCCTATGACATTTCCTGAACCCCTGTCGATCCTCTGACCACCTGAACAACCAACCTCCAAATATAAACCCCTTCTGAACCGTGGCTGCTAGGACGATCACCGACTTCTGTTCCTTTATCCTTTGCTGACCCAGAGGGGGAGCGACTGACCACTGACGCATATTTCTGGTTGACCGAGTGAAAGGGGGACCGATCGATGTTAGCGAAATCTACTGCGGACGTCCCGACAGTGGTGCGGGGTGACGCCGCGGCGTTTCGGCGAACAGAGAAGGACCGTCCAGTCATCCGCGCCATAAGCGTTTAGTGTGTCCTGATGAGGGCCGGTGATATGGGACGGCCGATAGTAAAGACGGACGGATGGGCGCCGATTGTCGCCAGCCGAGTCCGGCGCCGGCTGGGAGCGCCGGAGAATGGCGGTGGACGGGAAGGGTCTCACGGTCGGCTGGACGGGAGTTAAGGATCGCTGGAGTGAGATTTTAGTTTGGACTGTGAAGGAGACGTGTTCGGGCGATGTGGTTCACTGCCATGCACTTCTTGTCAATTATTATTGCTTTAGCGTTTATTTAATTACCTTATTGGCTGAAAGAAACAAGGGTCATGATACATGTTCGGATGCCATGCATATTGCATAAGAACGATTATTTAGAAAGGAACCCAAAATTGTTTGCACATATGAGTAGGTACACGAAAAGGCAACAGCCTCACAAGCACACTACACGACTTTCACAATCACTCGCTTTGAGAGGAAATGACACTCCAACAAAACACGAACACGACCTCAGCAGTCAGCGTCTTGCACCCTCCGGACTGCTTTCATATCAAACTAAATGTGTTTGACGCCAGCCCGGTCGCCCAGTAACGGTTGGTGTTTATGGCTTATGTCAAGCCGAAGGCATGCTGCAGCCGCCGATGCGGTGTTGGGCCCGGTTACATCTCAGTTTACTTTCCAGCCGGCGGCCGTGTCAGCGGTGCTGCCGCAGGCGCCGTACTTGCGCCCCTCCCCTTCTACTCCTGACCGGGCCATCAGCCGTGTCGTTGTGCTACCGGAACAAACGGGAGCCGCCGTCACCACCCCCTCCCCCTCAGTGGTACAGCGGCTCGTTAACACGGCTTACAAATCACCAGCTCTGGACAATCGCTGCCAGCACCTCTGATTGCTGCAGGCTGATTCACGAGGGGACTATCAACACCCTACTGTGCAGCCTATAGCAGTAGCTCCTACCCGCTCAATTGAACGGCTGTCTCCCTTGTACCCCCCCCCCCCTCGTGCCGGTGTGACCCGACCCGTGACGTCATCTTCCCCTCTGTGTCGCCAGGACCCCGGCTGTCGCTGCTGCAGACGCTACAGATCATGTTCGCCGTGCTGGCGATGTTGCTAGCATGACGCTAGAGGGGCTGCAGTCAGTCACCCGCGGCGCGCCTGTTCGCTTCACTGTGTCTCGCACTAGGCACCACTTTCAGCGGCAGACAGTCGTGAGGCGAAGGTCACAGGGCGGGCCTTGACCAGAGCCTCTGAGGGTGCTCTAGCCACTGACGACAGAGGTGCAGACCCCGAGGGACGTTTAAGGCACAGATCCCACCGATTGTGACCTCGCCGACAATAATCGAGGCGCTGGCTGCTGATGGTCCGAACTGGGAACTCTTATAGTGGTACCTGACGAAGGTCTGTCATAGACGGGAGGGCGAATCACAGCGGAGAACGATTGTGCGCGCGCTAAGAAGCTGCCCCCGGGTGTCGTAAAGGTCTACTGGTCGTCTGTCGGACTCTTACCGAGCCGTGTGACTGTTTCGTTGTGACTGAATGATGGAGAATTACCACGAGGGTGTTCGAACGGGCGCGTTAGGTGGTCATCTGTTATACTTCCCGGCGGAACTGCCACGGCCGTCTACTGTCGCGCTGAGCAACGAGAGACCGACAGCGCCGGGACCGCCAGCGGAAAATTGGAGCTGCCGCCCGGCCGCCAGCCGCTACCGGTCTGTGGCGACAAAAAGTGGTGGCGCCACGCCACCGCCTTGTGGCACTCCTTCCGATGTGCGTGTGAGCGTGACGGCGCCGGAAGTGACTGCTTCCGGTGGCGAGATGAGAGCGCGCCGCCGGCCCCGACCGGCGACGTCGCGTGCCGGGATGACCGGGCTGAGGGACTGAGCTCCGTGCGGGAGAGCGGAGCGCGTTCGGTGACCGCGATCAGCGCTCACTGTCAGCTCTCAGTGCCACACCTGCTCGAATGGTGGTTTGATGGTAGCTCGACCGCGGACGGTGGGCCTATCGGCCGGGCCGCGGTACGTGCTCTGTTGTAGCGCTCGATAAGTGTATAACATGTGTGTAGTACTGAGTTGGTGAGAGAGCTGCCGAAACTAAAGGGTATGGTAGGGAAACTCGGTTTGAGGCTCAGATGCATTTATGAACCTTAAATGCTTATGAATGATGATTTTTGTTGTCAGTCATGCGTTCACAACAATATAGTAAATAAGCCTTTTTCTGGATCTGATGAAAATGTACGTTTGCAAAATAATGTCTTCAACAAGGCCTCTCATTTATCCATTTTGTTTCCTATTTTTGTACACACAAAACAAACTATGCGGGAGCCATACTTCAAGGCATTTGTCGCGTACCGTATTGCATAACGAACACATGCGCGACTATGCTACTCGTGAGCTGTCGCGCTGAGCAACGAGAGACCGACAGCGCCGAAACAGCCTTTGTCTGTTCCAACAGACACAGCTGAGACGGCGAGAGGGTCACAATGACGCTCAGCCGATGACGTAGCGGGCCAGTACAGCGAGTGACGTCACGGGTGCCGCGAATGACGTCACGGCCGCTGTGTGATGTGACGTCACGGGTGCGCGAGTGAAGCGTTAGTCGCTGTTATCCTGTATGTGTTTGTCGGCTCGGAGCCGCGCCGTCTGTTGTGTGACGATGTTTTTATCCAGTGATGAGGGACGACTGTTGTGCAGTTGGTTGCCATTCGGGCACTTAATGAGAACATATTGACGTTATAATACATCATTTCCACATCCGTTGCTTGTTGGATGATTGTTTAGGCTGATCTTAGCTGCTGCTGCTCTACATCGAATTATTGTCCTGTGGTCTGAACTCTTGGTCAGTCAGCGTCCCTGAGAAAGATTGATAATGTAGGTAACCAACATTTGCTCAGTTCGCCATTTACTCATTGTTGGACAAAATTAATAACCAGAAAGATAAACATTTTCTATGTGTTTAAGGTGCTTTTTAAAATAGGTAGCTGGAACCTATAATACTTATTTGCTTTTTATTTCAGGCAGATCAGGAACCCTACGAAATAGTCGCATTACTTAGGTAGGTGAACGAGCTAGCTTCTTCACTGCAGTACAATGAAAAAGATAAAAATCTATGAAAACCCTTTTGTAAAGTTCCGCGGAGGGGAACAGAATCACACACATACATTCATAGAATCGGTAGCCATATGAGTAGACCGGCAGACCGAGCAGCCGATCTTGGAACGGCCGGGCTGAGAATGCCTTTGATGTAGGCTGTCCCGCAATATACTGATGCGCTGCGGTGCAGCATTTTCTCGCGTCCAGGACTGGCAGGTGAAACTGAACAAACTAACAGCAGAGAGAAAGACTCGAATCGACTGAACCATACTGCAGGACTGTGAATTGAGCTTGACAGTCGCTCAGCCAGGATCGTGAAGTGAGCTGACTGAAACTCACAGCTGGTTAGTGGCCAGTAAGAGGCTGAAGACTTGAGCTGGCCACTGGGTTCCCCAGTTGAGCTGAGTCCCTGCTGAGCTCCTGATTTGAGATCCCCACTGAGCCTCTAATTTGAGCTGGCAGCTGAGATCCTGAGCTGAACTGAGCCCTTGCTCCTATGGAAGGTTGTAGTACTAGTAGCCATTATAAGCTCCATAACAACGGCAGGTAAAAGAAGTGTGCTGACTTATCGGCATTATATAACGCTAAGATAAATTGAAGAAAGCGTCCCGACATGACCCTAAACAGTATGCAAATGTATACCATTCAAATAGATGACAGCTAGTAGAAGTGTTCATCCAATCCATTTTGAACGGTTTTGTGGCCCACTAAATGGCTGTCGATAAAACGTTCCGAGAATCCATTACTCACTCTTTCACAGGTCACGTTCAGTTGACATTCCCCTATCCTCTGGCCATTTCGCTGTCTGCCATGATATATGCACAAACTTGGCACCTGTGCTTACTTTCCGAATTGCCTAAATCCTTTTAACCATGAGTTTTAGAGTGAAAATTGCTCCGATAAGGCTTCGATAGAATCACTCAGCTGCAAATCACGACGGTCGGATGGCCCAACTTGGCTAATCGTTTACCGGTCTCCCCGGTGACAGGCCGGTGGATCCACTCCCATCTGCCAACTCGCCAAGTCGTCTGTCTACTGGGAGGCCCCAGTCTGGAGTTCCCGGTGCCCGCGCGCCGGTCTCTGCCCTCCGTCTCTCTCCGGCCGCCTCTCGCGGTCATGACTCTCCTCCGCGGCGACCCCGGCGCGGGCCGTCCGGCTAATGCAGCGATTGGAATAAATCCGCGCCGCGCCCCGGGCTCGTTAGTGACGCTCGGGGTACGTTCGAACGACGCCCGTCTGTCGCCGAATGTGACGCGTCAGAGCCGAGACACAGGCCGGCGAGGCCCGTAAACGACTAACGGCCGTCGGTTACGACAGGTGTAAAAATGGCGGATCGTCGCGTCAAGTGGCCGACGCGAGGTTTATGGCCTGCTGACAGGGCACTGCTCTTCGCAGTGGAGGGCATCCGACCGTGAGAAATGCTTTATATCGTGTGTGGGGGAGGGTGCCACAAGGTAAGCCATGTCCCAAGCATAGTGTGAGCTGGGCTGAACTTGGTGTGGAAGCTTGTAAAATGGGGGCTTTGAAGAGGCTCGAGAGTCACGAACTGTTTAAAGCATCCCTTGAGATTTAAAAGATTTTATAGAAAAATTATCCTAACTAAATGAGATTGATAGACACGGAAGTAGCCTTCCGGCTACTTCCGATCACGCTCAGCACCCTACATGCCATCATCAGCTCCATGAGCAACTCCCGCGGATCTGACGGACTTTGCATTCGAACCATCAAGCTATCCTTCAACGCCATCAGTCACGTCCTCCTCCATATCGTCAACCTCTCCCTCATCTCCAATATCTTCCCGGAATCCTGGAAGCATTCCCTCGTCCATCCCATCCACAAGTCCGGTGATCCTGCCGATCCTTCCAACTACCGTCCTATTTCTATCATCCCAGTCCTTGCCAAAAAAGTGGAGCGGGCAGTTCAGCGCCAACTCTACTACTACCTTTCCTCCAACCATCTCCTCTCCCCAACCCAACATGGCTTCCGTCCGCAGCACTCTACCGAGACCGCCCTCACGTGCGTCACCGACAGCATCCTTGCTGCTACAGATTCTGGGCTTCCCTCCATTCTTTGTCTCATTGACCTTAGCAAGTGTTTCGATGTTATCAGTCATGCTAAATTGCTCGAAAAACTCCAGCTGCTGGGCGTCGACACATCCTGGTTTCAAAATTATCCCTCCGGTCATTCGCAGAGTGTAAGCCTCACTTCCTCTGATGGCCGCGTCAAAATCTCACCTCCTCTACCCATCAACCAGGGCGTTTTTCAAGGTTCTAGCCTCGGCCCTGTCCTCTTCTACGCGTTTGCCAACGACCTGAGCTTGTACGTCTCCGATGGACTGGTTATCCAGTACGCCGACGACACCCAGGTCTTGGTTTCCGGCCCTAAATCTGCTCTTCCAGCGCTTGCATCGCTTATGGAAAGCACCCTTTCCTCTCTTGGCAACTACTTCCTTGCGAACGGCTTAAAGGTTAACGTAAACAAATTCGAACTCATCACTTTTGGTTCTAGAAAAAATTTCCGCAACCTCCCGACGATCAAAATCAGATACCAGGACACGTGCCTGACGCCCAGCACTGAGGTCAAAAATCTGGGTGTGGTCTTCGACCAGCACCTGTCATGGGACGCGCACGTGAGGGCTGTCTCGCGTAGATGCTGCGGTATCCTCGCAACACTATCCCACCTCCGCCACTTCCTTCCTCCTGACACCCTTCCCGAGATAGTCACCGCCCTGGCCGTCTCGCACATCCGCTATTGCCTCTCTGTCTACGGCAGCGGCAGCGCTGGCAACCTCGCAACCATCCAGAAGCTGCTCAACTTTGCGGCTCGCGTGATCGCGGGAAAACGAAAGTTTGACCGCGTGTCAGCTGTGCGAGACAGGCTGGGGTGGCTCGACTCGTCTCAACTCTTCCAATACCAATCCCTCTGCCTCCTTGACAAAGTCCTCTCCTCTAGCCAGCCCGAATGCATTGCCCGTCAGGTCTGCCTCAACCGGGACCATCATGGCCATGTCCGGCACACCAGACAGGACGATCTCCTGCACGTGCCACCCATCCGTTCGGAGGCGGGCCGGCGACGGTTTGTATACCGCTCTCCCCACCTCATGAACGATCTGCCCATGTCGGTGCGGAACCAGCGAGGTCCGCGGTTCAGGCGAGCCCTGAAGGCCCACCTACTCTCGAGACGAGACACGTGATGAACGCGTTTTTTTATCATGATGCCGTGCAGGTGGTGTTTTTTTTTATCCTGAGCTATATGTATATTTTAGGTTGTGTAACATCGTAAGTGTGTATTTTACCCTGCATGTTATGATCCGATTTTATTGACGTGAAGGCCAAAATAGCCACTTGTCTTGTGGATGGCTCTTTAATAAACTACTACTACTACTACTGAAGATCGGCTTTCTCTCTCTCTCTCTCTCCCTCTCTGTCTATTGCCTCCCGGCTGTCAGCCGTTGCTGTTGCTTGTTTGCTCTTACAGCGGAACAAAATGGCGAGACAGACACGTTGATTTGTTTTTGCTTTCTCGTTTTGAGTGAACAACATATTCACAAAGAAAAGAAGAATTTAAAAGAAAATAGCAAAAGAACACACCACTGAAAGAGAGGGCAATGTATCAACATTACCATATTAAAATGTCTCGCTTGACTGCCAGTCTCGTGCACCAGCTGCGTCCAACGGAGAGGCCGAGTCCTGGCGGGGGCACTGGGACCGCCTGTCTTCTCCAAGAACACCTCGGGGGGGGGGGGGGGGGGCGGTGCCGGCCGCTCACCTGTGGCTCCAGGCATGAGTTATGTCGTCTGCCGGCCGGACGGCTCGCCACGTCCCCGGCGGCGCGCTGCGCAAATTTCGCCGCATCCTCCAGGGCGCAGTTAGCCAGGATGAAACAGTAGCGCGCGCCGCGCCGCTGGCACCTCCAGTCCATCTAGCGCTCTTTATTACGATACAACTGCGGCGCGGCGGCGCGGCGCAATTGGCGTCGCCACCGGCCACCTCTCTGTTTAGTACTCCCGGGCCTGTCGTCGCGTCTTGTCAAAAATTCAATGCATTTGTGTTAGTGTGCTCACAGGTATGAGTCGCACGAGTTACGGACACTGCAGGTAGCCGGAGAATTGGGCTGGCGCGCTGCTGGCTAGCGTCTCTCCGTTGTCTCCTGGAGGCGGCAGAGCGAACAGAGCGGGGACAACATTCCGGATATGACAGAACAAAGGAACAATCGCCGCCGGAGAGAAGACCGGACACCGGCAATTCCGTGGCGCGAGAACGAGAACAAGGGATGTGTGACACCTTTTTATTTGTGCTTTTTTGTTAAAGTCATGAAATTTTGTCCACCTAAAACGAAATATTCTTGAACTGTATCGATCATGTGTCCTTGGCATTCACTTTACTGCCGCCCATCATGTGCCGGTACACTACGGCGAAGTGCCGGTTAATGTAGTAGCGGCGGAAATAGTTCACTTTCACGAAATTAGTATTTTTACAATGGATTTATGATCTTTTTATGCTCAAAATGATCGACAAAGAAAATAAACACTTTTATAAAAAAGATTATTTCCTATATTTTGATATAGGACGAATTCTTCAGTTTTAAGAATGCAAAAGAGGGAAATGACTCCTGCAAGGCACACATTCCTCAGCAAGGCACTTTTTCGGGACGAGAAATGCAA